TACTTTTGTCTCATATTGTCCCATCTTATTTTTGTCCAATGGCACACCAAACATGAGACTATTTATTTTTGTCTTCCATTTGCTACTAGAACAGTGTCGGAAATTCAAATAACATACCAATGAACCGCATGAGAGAAAAAACTTACAGTAACTAAAGTTGACATTTAAGAAATCGGTTCGATAATCTGACCCTAGTGTCTGGCCTCAGCTATACGCGAGAGATGTTGGAGTAATGGCTTAATTGCCTAGTTATCATGCAAAAGGAAGTACTTAACCCTTTCCCAACTTTTATCTTAATTTGGCTTATTCTAATAAGTTGTATATCCATAGTACACATCCATGTGCCCTTGTTGTTTTGAAAGTTAAAAGGAGCTTGGATTGGGACCATATTGTAATTTTACAATATTTATCTAAAGTTGCATTCAATATCTTTAACTATTGTTGAGTAAATGACTTTAAGGTAGAAAGTGCATCCAATATAATACTATTACAGATTAACAACTAACAGACATTACACACTACAATTAAGATGGTGCAATCCAATGAAATTTGATAAGATCATAAATGAACAAAAAAAGGGCAAAATTTGGATGTATTTTTTTAAAGTTCAAAACTAGGTTAACTAGTCTTTAAGGAGATGTGTAAGTGGTAATGATCTCAATTCAGTCAAAACTAGCTATGGGGCTGTTTATTAAACGCTTACTTGGTAAGTGTTTACTGGATAAATTTTCTCATTGGATGAACATTACAAGGGCCAAGAATCTTGCTAAGTAAGAGCGATGAGAAGAATGAAGAGTCTTACCCGGTAAATGAAGATGACGACTCTTACCCAGGTAAGTGCTTAACCGGTAAATTGTTGTATTCGATACGTTTTGATGTACTAAAATCTTATGCATAAAAATAAATTATATATGGGGGAGCGATCAAATGAAAACCACTCAATTTGTAAAAACCGTAAAAATCTCATTCCACCAATCATAATTTTTCATTTTGTTCATTTTTTTGTAATTATAAGAGGTTGATTAATCATTTTTATTGTGGATGATGTTAATCATGTATATTATCATCTTCATTATTTTAATTTTAGAAAAATACATGAAACAGTTTCATTAAAATTTCATTAAGTAGTATATGAAACAATTTCATAACCATATATGAAACAACTTCATCAAAAAAAGTATTATATGAAACAATTTCATAAGATTACGACGGATGAGAGTAATTTTTACGGTTTGTACAAATTGAAGTGGTTTTCATTTGATCGCTCATCTATATATATATATATATATATATATATATAT